ATTTTCCCCTCCAAGTTATATACCCTTTCGCTGCCATTTTTGCCCGGATGAACGCTTAAGACGTTACCGGAACGATCGTCAGCCACGTCACTGAACCTTGGTGACCAATAATTTGATTAGTGCGTGAACGAGATCAGACGGAATCACCCCATCTCCCCCCGGCGAGGGGAGGGGGCAAGGGTGAGGGGTTACGGATCAGCCGAGTTCAATAAAGAAAGCGTTGAAAGAAAGCGGGCAAACATCGCGAAACACCCTCAAGTCGAGGCATGGTTGTCGGAAGCGATGGAAACTCACATTTCCCCTAGGTGCGGGTCGATCTCAGAGTCGATCTCGATCGATTAATAGCACTGCACAGATAGGGGTGTATCGATTAAGGCAATGCGATAACGATTGCATCATCTACGCGCTGCGGTTGACGAATTTGAACCCCCGCTGCGGCAAACTATCGCGATAGGAAGAGAATCCGAACAAATGCGCCCCGTAGCACCGCGTCTTGAATCGGGGCTCCTTCAATCGAGATCTCGAGAATGTGAATATGCCGGGGGAAACTATCGAACTGAATCGATACATCTATCGATGTTCGTACCGGCGGCATGTTAATTCCTTGGAGAGCCATAAATCGCGCCCGGCCTGCCGCCGATGTTGTGGGCAACGCACGGTGGGGAAAAGTGGAAGTTTTCTGGTCTGCATTAACAGAAAATTTATGTAAATCTCGAATAATCATTCACGGGGTGGTTACAAAATTTCTGAGAGAGCACCCTGATCCTTAGCCCATAGACACCCTTCTAACCAACAGAACAGCACAAGAGAGAATTTGGGCAAGAATTTAGGGAGAATTGGTGGAGACGATAAAAAATGAAAATGTTGTACAAAAACGTCGGAAGACCTTACAAATTTCTCTTGATTGCCCCTGCTGTTAGTTTTATGTCCTGAGGATTCTCAATAAACAACACTAAGTTCAGAAACACGTTTTGATGTTAGCGGACATTTTTAATAGGTAACCAGGATATTAATGAAAAATCTCAATTTTTTTCGGCATGGATATCATACATTTCCTCCGCTGCATTATCTTAATCTGCCACAGTCAAATCCAATTGAAATGTTCTTTTTTTCTTTTAGGAAACGCAACACACCGAAGAATTTGTGTGCCAGCCGCTAAATCATTTCATCAAAATTGTCATTCGATGGGCAGCAATTTGTGCGCAGGATCCAATATCAATATCACCGCAACGCTGCTGATATCGTACACTTTTTTTTTTATTCGTCATAGACTTAAACATGTTTTAAAATTTTTTGTGTACCAAACAAATGAAAAATATTAATTAATTAAAAAGTGTTCGCTGAATTTCATTGGTTTTAATCTACTTTCAGCTTTTTATTATTTAAAAATAAGTGCGTTGCAACTCAATCTTATCTACATAGCAATAAGTTTATCCCCTTTTTTTCACATTCAGACCGCAGTTAAGCGGATTTAAGGGGAGTCCGTCTAAGTCGATCCGATGTTGCGTAATTTTATCTCATATTTGGTTCTAAATAGGACACAAGTATCGATGAAATTTGGTAAGATGATTCATCATAATCTTAGGTAAATTCATAAAGAGTTTGAAGGCGATGAATAAATAGTTCTCTCTGTACAAATAAGGCACGAGGGAAATTTATGCAACGAGAAATACAATTAGGCTATTCTAGTGAGATTCTTCATATTATAATCATCACATTTAGAGGAAGTTATCGCAAACATTTTTATAATTAATAAAATGGTGTCTCCCTACTAAGACTTAACGCCTTAGGAAGAATTATAATCGTATGATGGATCAGAAGTTTCTTAATTCACCCGAGCTTGATGAAAAGAAACACGACATCGATTGTAAAAAATATTCATTCGCCGCCAAAACCTCTTTTCCTATCCAATGATATCACGGTGTGACCCGGAGTGTTATGGTCTCTCACACACTCGAGCATAGTATTTTTATTCTCACACACACTCGCGAGCGTTACGAGAGATTTATTCCCTCCCGCCTAGGTTGAAAGATCTTAATAGTCAATTAATTAACCCCTAATTTCATTTAGGTTTGAATTGTTTGATACGCACCGCTCAGGAACGGAAAGCGAAGGGGTGGGGGAGGTTAGGCGCAATTTAGCTGCCTGGCTGTGGGCCAAAATTCGCCTGATGTCTCATAGTACGAAGCAGAAGGATCTCCATTGAATGGCGCAAACCGATTGTCCCGGGTTACTGCGCAAACCGTTCTCACTTACATATTTTTAGTCCGAAAATTGCACAAATCGACACAAGAGTCAATTAGAAAAAAAAAAAGAATCAGAACGTAACTCCCTGGTCCAACCCCCAGGAGTGTTTCGCGCCTTAAGGCATTGTGCTTTACTCCCACGATTTTACAATGAAGAGTAAGACAGTGCAAGATTTGACATTTTTATAATTTAGACGTAGTCAGCTTAACAGTCACCTATTTTCCAAAGTTTTCCATGGTATGAAAAAGGTTTGATCAATTTGCCCCAACATTATGTGCTTGAAGCTCTGGATACCACTTTCAGTCTGAAAGCTCCAACAGAGAAAGTTCATCAGACCAAATGTTGTCTTACTCAAAAAAAGCGTAGAGCTTTTTCGATATTAGCATGGCAAGTCATCATTTGAGCAAACCGTAATGAAGGACCTTCTAAGTATTTAATGGAGAAGAGTTCTCTGTAGTTCCCATGGCTTTGCTCTCAAACACCATAAAAGTGCTAGCTAACTTAAACTTCATTTGTTAGAAAAACCAACTTCCCCTCGTAAATTCTATATGATGCTCCTACGAATAATGTTTCATTTGAATATGTAATAGACTGACATTCTCTACTCTTAGATCACGTTTGCGTTATGATCATTGAAATACTATTTATTTCTCATCACAATAAAACCTTGAAATAGGAAATTCAAATCGATAAAACTTAACATTAGTCAATCAAGACTACAAAATCAAACTATGGAACTTTACATTCAGATGTAGAGAGCATCATTAAGTAATTGCCTCAGAAAAATATCTGATTCAAAAGAGAAAAGTTTTCATACTTAATGGATGAATATTTCATCTTAAAATACATTCGAAAACAAGCGAGGGTTATAACTTCAAAAGATCCGGTCTTTGGTCATCGGAAAATTAGGTTATTCCGGGCTGAAATCCCTATACTTGAATTCATCAACCTATTTTTCCGGAGCTTTCTCTCTCTTTTATGACGGTTCATGAGATGTTCCATGTTCGCAATTGGCGGTCGCCTCTCTCTTGCTGCGTAACGCAGAACAGATCTCGTTGACTTTTTCTGCGTTAAGATAGACGTTATGCGGCAAATTTCGGGCAAAATTCCATTCGTGCCCATCGCATAGTAGCTCTTTTTCAAAATCCAAGTACCCATCACTTTTCATTGATCATGGCCTGTAAATAATTTTCCTCCCCTTTTACATCAGCAACAAATTGAAGGGGTATTTATTCACGAGTGCCTCTTTCAACATAAATTAATATCAGGCGCAATTAATATCACTTATTGCTGTATATGCCTCATTGTAAAGCTAACCTATATTCTCAGAATTTCACTATCCATACACGAGTGTTTCTTTCAACATAAATTAATATCAGGCGCAATTAATATCACTTATTGCTGTATGCGCCTCATTAAAGCTTACTTATATTATCAGAATTTTACTATCAGGCAGGGAAACTTTCTAAATTTTGTGCAGGGTTATTGAGTCATTTGTACGATTGGATGAGGGATTGAGTCATTTGTATACGATTGGATGAGGGATTTACTAGAGGAGGGTTAGGTATTTCCTTATAAGGGTTGGCTCCAAAGTTTTGAGAAGCCGCCTCGCCTCTATTGATAAATAATATTTTCCTGCTCGATTCTACATTGGATCGCTAAGAAAACACCCTACCTCAAAATTTGGCAGGGACCATCCTTCCGTGGTTTTCCCCCTCTTTTTTTTAAAAAAAATTGATGTGATCTCCTTTCAGCTCTTAACGTTGATCGGCTGATCACTTCAACCTCATCCGGTATTTAAGTCTCCGCACCCTAAACTATATTTTATACCGAAATTTCTATACTAAACTTGAAAATAATACCTATCTCTCAATTTTATTAATTGTTGTTTAAAACCTTAGATATGTATACCACGCTAGAAAGTATATTCATTCATGCTAAAATTAACTGAATGCAACTAGATTTATTGAAAGGGCAGTAGGTATGTAAATCGCAATATTCTGTACTTCACAATTTCCTATAATTTAAGCAATTAATTTTCAAGAGGTTCCTTTTAGCATAAAATCGTCTAATATACCGTCGTCTTGCTTGATTTAGGCGCAAATGAATGGTACTTGATTCAGCTGTAACTATCGATGTGGTTAACATAATATAAAATTTGCTTACGTATTTGAATAGGATAGTTAAATCTACTTTGCTCGGGGTTAACGCCTAGAGCATCCACTGTAAACTTTAGTGTCAACGCCAATGACGACCGCAACGAAAAGTGAGAGATCTGGGTGCGAAATGCACACCTCTCAGTTTTACTATTTTATAATTGGACTTCGTTAGGTATGCAATTAGGAACTACAATTTCTAGCTCATCCGTAAAAAGTCAAAGGTGCATAGGAAAAATATTGCTGCATGCATGCGTGTTGTTTCTGGACCGAGCCTAAGGTTGCGTAGTTTCCTAACTGCAAAACGTTGTGCAATTTCCCTTGTCTAGTTTTTCCCTGACAGAAAAAATGCATGTACAGAGATGATGATTCAACTACATTTTCTTCGAGAGGTAGCAATTTTTTAGTACATAAATCAAGTTCAATTATCCAATTGTTTCCTCATTAAAAAGGGGAATGGTTGGCGGAAACTTTAAAACACTGCAACAGGGAGGCACGTGATTTTCCTACACTCGTGTGCTCTGTTTCCGTCACAAATGGACTGCATGCTCTAATGTTTTCTGCAATCCAAACTGAGAAAAGTCGAACGAAACTTACCATGCTGCCCTCGAGATCGCTTTCCCGATGATCCATATCCTCCATCTGGTAGACAGGGACGGGCTCTCTATTTTTGACCCGAATTTTGACGCCGTTCTCAGGAGACGAGCACAAAAACAAAACAAAACACCCACCCGAAGACACCAATCAGCCGATCAAGCCTTTCACAGTCGCATGGATTGGAATCAACGGCGGCGAATCGGAAAAACAAAACGGAAAATCCAGCGGTATCACATAGGAACGACTGACAACACGAAACGGGAAGCACAACAACACAGACGGAAACGAAACGCACGCACAGGACACAAATCGACCGTTAGAACCAAAACAAAGCACGTTTCCACGTTTTTCCAGGCTGGGGGATTGCGCACGCGTCGAGCACCGTATCAAAGAGATAGTAAATGAAAGGCAGACTCGTGATCCCCACTCGAGAGGTTAACCGCGCGGCGTCTGGGTACCTGCCCGCCGCCCGCCGCCGGCCAATCACAGCGCGCCGTTCTCGGAGGCGGGACCGATCTACCCCTACTTTTTAATATCAGAATCGCGTCGCCTCGAACCCCTCGCCGCGCGCTGCGCCCGAATAGAGTTTATCCATTTGCATCCCAATTGAATAATTACAGTCGCCTTTTTTAATTTACTCGCTCTGTTATTCCTCTCTATTCAAGGAGCTCCGGGGAAAGTTCCCGTTCTTGTAATTTGTCCACGGAGGGCACAGCCGAGAGGATCCTCCCGATGAAATATGCCGCCGACGTTCATGTCCGTCTTTTAATGAACGCCTTTTCCGACGCTATCCCTCGGACCCGATGCTTTTCTTTTCATTTCTCCCGCCTTCCTTTTCTATTCTTGTCAACGCTCATCGCGTTTACTAACTCTTCCTCTCCATCTTCATTCCGTATTTTTCATTTACATTTTTTCTCTCAGATTTTATAGGTTTTTTTGTCTCTCGTAAGCTTTGATGTCTTCAAGAGCTGGATATCCTTCAGGAAATTGAATAGAGACTCTTCATGGTCTCTATCGATCTATAGGGGATGCAAATGAATCTGCTATCCTTGAAAGCTTTTAGTTGTGGAGTTTCAATCAGCGACCTTCTGGTTCGCCATGGAGTTTCTTCTCGTCAATCGTTGACTGTCAAGTTTTGGTATATAAATTGCAACTGAGTTTACCAAACAAAAGCTTATTCTCTGAGAAAATTCTCCAACACGTCACTTTAACGGTTAACAATTGGATTGAGGAACTTGGAGGACAAGAAGCATCAGTGCAGTTTTTGCTATTTCGAGAAATATACGTGCAATTTAAGTTTTGAAATTACATGGATCCTTATGGCGCGGTGGAGAGAAAGTTCAAACTGACTTTTTGATGCTTAAAAATTTGAACTTGGGAGCGAATTTTTCACCCAAAATGCAATAAGACCAGGTTTACTTGAAATCATCGATATCTCAATTTTTTCAAAAACTGCACTTGAGCTCCTTGTCGTCCAAGCCCCTCATTTCAACTGTTAAACTGTTAACTGTTGTGTGACGTGTTGGAAAATTTGCGAAGCGAATAAGCCTCTGCTTGTTAAACTCGGTTGCAATGTGTATACCAAAACTTGGTAGTTATTAACCAACGAGAAGGAACTCCACAGCGAACCAAAAGGTCGCTGATATTTGCTACCCATAGGGAAATCTTGAATCCCTAAAGTAGGCAAGAGGTTCCTCTTTCCACCTTTTGCTAAAAGTCGTGTGAGGGACGCTATGCTTCTGGGGCTGTCCATGAATAATTACGTAATGCTCTAGGGGGTGGGTGGATCATCCTAATTTTGTGACCGAGTGTGACAGGAGGTTGTCAAGCTCAGCGTTACGTGCATGTATGTATTTTTCTCATTTATTTTTTACGTATTTTTTCATTCATTTTCTACTTATTTCTTGATCATATGGCACCTTAGCATTTTGCCCTTTTTATTTTCTTCTTTCTTGAAAGTTTATCATAACTCGAATAACATTTATTGTTCATTGTATATTCATTTTATTACTTGTATTTTTCACAAATTTTCACACACACATTTTCTGTTCGATCGTTCTTTCTCTAAATACACATATATATTAAATTTCTGCTTCAAATATTCAGTTTCTTAATAATTTTTAATCGAATTTATCAGCCATTTAAGGAGATCACTCAAACGTAAGCTTATAATCCACCTTCCGGCGATACAACAAATTTCAAATTTAGCTGTGTGATGTGTGAAAGCTACTATTGCCTAGAATTAGAATTGCAGGTGAACAGTTAGAGCATTAAAGTCTCTCCTTCGCGTCTGTATGTGCTCTAAGTAAGCGCGATACTCACGGTGATACCACTATTCGACCACGTCGGAGCTCCTGTTGCCTACACTAAAAGTTGAGGGCGAACTGACATATGGCGCGAAAGCCACCTCTTCCCGTCCGGTAAAAAGCTATGTGTTGTGTGTATTTCGAGTGAGGGTTTCATTTCACGTGTATACTACTATCCGATCACTGGCGAGCTCCTTTTGCCTACACGAAAAATTGCAGGCAAAGTTCTAGTCGCTGGAATCACCTCTTCGCGCTCGGGAAGAGGATATTTTTTAAGTGTTCCAAATGAGCTTGACACTTGCGGTGATACAGTATTCGGCCACGTATAAAACCCCCGATTGCCTATACATCGTCAATATTTAGGTACTTTCTTCTTCACTTCTCAATTTGTCCTTGAGTTTCCTCGGCTAAAATGATTAACCGGTATAAAAAGTGTAGGCATGACTATTCTTTGATAATTCTTGGTTTTAAGAATTGTCTTTTGTCTTATAGGCAAAACGATAGTAAGAAATTTGTCCAAAGTCAGGAACGAATCCATGCATGAGAATTATTAAAAGGCTTCCTCTTAATAACGTAATATACATTTAATTTTTGAGTTTTACGCGATAATGAGCATGATGCTTGCATTTCTAAACCTTAATTTCTTGAGCTATAAAAATATGTATGTGAAAATATCTATGCTTCGAAAAAACGTTCAGATAATTATTTTATTAACACTAATGTTCAATGTGGTGACGAGTTTACTCAAACACTCGAGCAAGTTATGTGGTGTGATATTTCAGCTCTCTTTTTTCGAAGGTCAGATGGGTGGGAGCGCAATCTATTGAGCAGCGATAAATGACTTCATCAAACGAGCCTGTATTAGACATACCAATTAGACCGTTACCTCGTTGCCTGTTTATCTTCACAAAAATGAGATTTTTATATTTTTTTAGAGTTATTTCGTTTGATGGTTACACAGGAAGAGGCCATTTTACCATCGATACGATTTAAACGCCAGCGCTATAATCAGAGTGCGCACGAAGGCGGTGAAATTCGGGGAGGGAGTTGGTAGTTGGTGAATCCTTCACTTTTCTGCCTGATGATAAAAAATATTTCGCATACATCCAGTAGGCGTGAATTCAAGCCATTCTTTAATTATTTTAATCGAAAATTTAGTTGTAGGAACTTCCCAAGTATTTTCTTATGATGCTCTACGCTTTGTCAAGCAGTTAGTTTAGTTGTCTAGTAGAGCCCAAACCAGAAGGTATTGAAGTTGAAATAAAAAGGTTATTACTAAGGATCTTCACGGAGACTCAATTTTGGTTCAGGGTCGTGAAAATTCACGTGATGTTTTACGCTTTACTCCACGGTTATAGTTGGACCGAGTTTAACAGAAAGGAACCAAGCCACATCAGCGATTGCCAAGTTTAACTGGGCAATTATATTTTTTACGAGAGAACGGTTGTTCGGATTCCTTTGAACATTTTAAGGAATTTGTTTCGCACCACGGAGAATTTTCACTGAAATTTGCACGAGAATCCACACAACCGTTTTCATGTAAAAAATTAAATTGCCCAATTAAATTTGGCAATAGCTGATGTGGCTTGGTTCCTTTCTGTTTAACGCGGTCCAGTTATCAGTTGCCTCGCCCAACCGAACACAACTTTGAACTTTGGACGGAGGTTCTCATCATTCATTTGGGACAAGACTTCAACTAAAAGCATTCCTTTGCCGCATGAAGCGATTGCTAAAAGTCACTGGCAGTATTAAAGCAGCTTTTGACGAAAAACTAGAATATTTTTAAATGAAAACTGCAAGAGGCACGAAGAAAAATATGAAAGGCGTTGTGTTTTAGACGAGATGAAACATTTTGCAGTTCTAAATATAAGTAGTGTATGTTGAAAAAAGTAACCGAGTTGCATTACCTCAATTGGGGTTACTTAGGTACACGAAATTCTGCCTCTGAACTTTTCCAAATGAGCCAATACCGATCCGTATACGAAACACCGCTTCTTCGTTTCGATGGGGAAGAAAACAGAAAAAATAAGGTGAAAAAGATATTGAAGTATTTTGCCAAATCACCAATTGAAAGTAATGTCGAACAAATTTATAAGAAGCAAGATAATGCCTTAAAATGAGCTAGGTCTTCTGAATTCTTGTTTAGTGCCGAGAGTCAACGAATTGTTGCTTTTTCTCCGGCATCTTAAGCGTTAATAGCAATCCAAATGAAATGAACTAGGCTAGAGAGACCTCAGATAAAGTTGGAAAAATCTAAGAGCACGATCAGAAACAAAATTGACCTAAGAAACTCCTCACTTTTTCAATGTAAATCACGGTTGGTAAAGTGTAGCGGGAAAATCAATATATACGGACTCCGCCAGTGACGAGGCGTGAATGATCGATATTGATCGATATTTCTCCATTTGAAGCTATGGTAAAGAATCGATTACTAAGGTGTTCGCTGCGAACACCCTGTCTATCGACAGGCCCGCCACATCCCATCTCGGGCCCTGGTACCAATTTTCCGGCCCGGGCCCCTAGCACAGGGGGGGGGGCCGGGGGGCTTCCCCCGAGAAATTTTTGAAATTTTAAATCTATTTGGACGCATTATGAAGCTCTTATGATGGAGATTTTCCATCAATTACTGCAGAATAATTACGCCTTCTTGTTTAATTTCAGCACCAAAAACTTTTGAATTGTTGCATTCAAAACATCTAAAAAATTTTTTTTGAGGGGGCAGATGATAATTTTCAATTATATGGGGAGCCGGGCCCCCCTGGACTCCCCTTTCGTACGTCTATGGCAAGGGAGTTAAGCCATTGAAGTCGAGGATGCCCAGAAAGGAGCCTCTTAGCATCCGACAACGGAAGAAAATGAAACACAGTTACTAAGAATATCATTCTACATATACTCAAAATCTTGAAAATCTCTAAAAAAGTAAGAAAAAATTTATAGTGCCCTAGCGTGCTTTTGAAACTTTATTCACCTTTTGCGGAATTTTTAGGGTAATTTTTTCACTTTTCCCTGCGAGACAAGGGTTACACATGAATTCGTTGTGGTTTGTCACCTGCGTCACGGGCCCCTCCAGGGCCCGGGCCCCGGTACCAAGGACCCAGTATCCCC